TGGCGACCAGCTCGTGAGAGGCGGCGCCTGCAGACGTGGAGGGCGCCTGACTAGGCGCATTGATCTTGGAATGGCTTCGCCCGCTCTTTGTGGATGCCAGGTCCCAGCATTTTGGCTATCCCACAGGTGCAGCGCATCCCCGGAAAAACCGCCCAGATGTGGCTGGCCGAGCTTTGCTGCCGCACGGTGCCATTGGGTCGGGATGCATTCAGCAGTGCCCGATCGATGGGTGTGGCGTGGCTCGTGCGGCCCGCGCCATCACAAAGTGAGGATGCAGCACCGTGAGACATGTCGCCCAGAGGCGCCAAAGGAGCTTTTCTACCTGCAGGGAGATGCAGCCGCCAACGCCTCGAAAGCATCGGTTGCCTGCAGCAACCGTGGAGCAACCAGAGTGCCAGGGTTGGGCATTGCCCGAGAAGGCGGGCGCGAGCCTGTGGATTCCTACGCGGTTCCGCCGCCAGTGGGCAAACGAGACTCTGCTGCGTAAGAAGTGCTGCAACCTCCCGGCGAAGGCTGAGACTTTGGCAAAGCGTGACTGTGTCGTCCACTACGTGCAGGCCGCCGGATCAAGTCCAGGATGGAGGAGCCGGACGTGGCTGACAACGTCAGGGCGCTACGGAGGAGACCATCCTGACCCTCGAGGCAGCCTTCAAGGACAGGATGGTGCAGGAGACCAACACAACATCTAGGCAGTTGCATGGCCAGGGCCTTCCCACAAGTCTGTTCGATCCAAATCCTGTCGTAGCTTGTCTCTTGCTGGAGACCTAGGTGTTGATATGACCCAAAGTGTGGAAGAGGTCTTGGGCTGATTGTCGGAGATGCAAGGCGAAGGTGCTCCCAAAAGGGGCCCTACAGGCAAAGTGCCTGCAGTGCCGAAATTTCAGAAGGCCAAGAAGGATGAGTTTCGAGTTTGGACATTTGGATTGGGTCAAATGCGCTTTTAATGGAAAGGCAGGTCGCTCCAGGCAACCGAGCAAAGGATCGTGCCTATAAGCGTGAAGGTGAAGACTGGCCGAAAGTGGTACGTTGGCAAGAGGATTGCCGTGGTTGTTGCCACTTGTTCAGTCCCCAGGGAGTTGCGTGGTTGGAATTGTGGATTGTGCGACGCTGGGCTGCAAGTGTTCGATAGTTTGGCAAAGGAGCTCAAGGGGCTAGGGAAGGGGCGATAGAACTTCATAGAGTTTCTGCCCGCCTGAATTTCCCACGCCACGGAAAAAGTTCAACGCCGCGTTTTGGGTTGCGCGGAGGAGGACACACCGTCCTTACGGCCGTGAAAGATTGCTTGAGTGAGCAGGTTAAGGAGCGTATTCGTGTTCGCCTGAAGAAAAACAAGAAAAAGCATCGCAGCCATGATCTGGTTTATACTTCGTGTGGTAGGCCTTGCAAGTAGGAAAATCTAGTCGACCTGGATCTGTCGTGACGTGTGTGAAACGTTGGGGAATTGGCGAGGAAAGATTCTTCTTTGAAAAGAAACGCCGCTCGGAACCTGCTTATCACTTCAGCAAGAAATGCCGGTGGACGAAGCAGAGGAAGTCCTGGCCAAAGTATGTGGATTCCCTAATCACAGCTTGGAACGTCAAAGCTGAAGACGTTGATAAGTGTTACTTGGTCGGCTCTTGACTATCGCCAGGTCTACTGGTCGAAGTTGTTTGCTTGCTTGACATGAATTGGCCAGTTGACGCTTGGGTCGATCATTTCCGTTTGGCGTTTGGAATTGTTCATTTGATGGGCATGTTCTCTCATCCCATCGATATGCATCGTTACTAGTATGTCGCGAGTTGTGGCATTCTTTCGAACATGATGTCGTCGGTCGGGGGCATGACGGTTGATAAGTTGGTTGATGCAAGTCGTTACGCTGATTTTGAGAGCTAGTTTCTTTCTGGGCATGGGCTCGTTGGCGTTGGGGTGTTATAATTGGTCCATGAATGTTTGTTACTCACTGGCGCGGGTTGTTCGTTGCATTGGACCTTAGATTTTGGTCGTGATCAAGTTGAAAAGCTTTGCCCTCAAGGGTTTTGTCCTGTTGAGGACGGAGCTATTATCGGCAGATCCCGGAACAAGAGCTTCCTGTGATCCTTCGTTTTTGTCCGGTGGAGAAGAAGTTTGTTTTGTTGAGCCCAAGCCGTGGTGCTGAATCCGTCCCCCAAACTTGGCGTACCAGTCCTGTTAATGGTGATATCGCGTTGTCGCAGGAAATCTTGCCTGGATCCGGAAAGAAAAGTTGCCTGAAGCTTCTCCTGCGAGTAGCCAGAGTTTTTCCAGCAAAGCATGGTTGCCCGGTCGCACTCGTGTGAGTTCGTGTGAGGAGAGTCTTCCAGCAAGTCTGTTCGATCCCTGTCGTAGCTTGTCTGTTGCTGGAGGCCTAGGTGTTGATATGACTCCTTTGAGTAAAGTGAACCTGCTTATCACATCAGCAAGAAATGCCGGTGGACGAAGCAGAGGAAGTCCTGGCCAAAGTATGTGGATTCCCTGATCAGCTTGGAACGTCAAAGCTGAAGACGTTGATAAGTGCTACTTGGTCGGCTCTTGACTACCGCCAGGTCAACTGGTCGAAGTTGTTTGCTTGCTT